TGTCTCAGCTCCTTAAAGCAGCACTTGCCCTCCCAATTGTGCTAGTAGAGAAAGGGGTTGTAAGTAATGAGTAGCCCCCAGGAAGGCACATGCTCCAACAGCCACTTCTCAGGTGTCTGCGGAAGATTATGGACAAGGCCCTTCCTCTAAGAGAAGCACGGTGACCTGACCATCCAGTGACGCCACTCATGTTTCCTCCACTGCCAGAGCAGAGTCTCCAAAGACCCTTGCCCAGCTGGGAGGCAAAATCGCCGTGAACAAGCAGCTGCGTGCACCCTCCCCTGCTGGTGTTTAAGCCGTGATGCTGTGCCGGGCCGTCTCTGAACACGGGGGACGCGCTAGCTCAGCAGCTTGAATGACACCAACTGGAGACGCCATCTCAGAACCCGACGGATAAGACACGGTTTGCTCACCCTTTGCCTGGGACCACCCCCACGCCACCCCCACGTGACCCTGCCTGGCTCAGCCCGGCTCTGCTCCGGTCCCCAGAGGTGACCAAACCACTTCATCTAAAAAATCACACCTTCATCACTTTCTTTTTCTGGAGACCGAGTCTCACTCTGTCGCCGGGCTAGAGTGCCTCCCAGAGTGCTGGGATTACAGGCGTGAGCCACCACGCCTGGCTCTCCATCACTTTCTATGACCTTAACCTCCCTTTATTTTCTCTTCACACCTTTTTCTTCTCTTCACGGTCATATTGTCTTGCTCCCCCATTGAAATGTAAACCCTTTCGGGGCAGAATTTTGGCCTGTTCTTAGCTGAAAGCACCTAGAAATGGCCAATGCATTATAAGCCGTCAATGAATATTTATTAGGAAAAAAAAAAAGACTCGTTCACTCTCTAAGAGCTTCTACTTTCCAAATGTTTGGAGGTGTGTGTGTTTGGTTCTATTTTGTCATTTCTTTGTATCACATTGGAATCAGTGATAGGTTATTATCTGTGCGTGAGAAAATTGGGATGACCACATGGTAGGTCTCATTACCTGGTATGAAACCTAACCAAAAGTTTGTCCTGCTGTAATTATTGTTAAAAGCAAGCTGTCTTGATCTCATTCTTGCTTATTTGTTGTAAAGACTGAGACAGCCAAATGTCCCTCCTGCGGAAACTCTACCTCTTCTCTGGCATGATCGCTGGTGGTCATTGCTGCAACACAGTGGCCAGTTAGACCTTGGAAGTCCTTCAGAGCTTCCTCATTCCAAGATTCAACAAACACTGGTAGAATTAGCTACAGCTTACTTAAGGGAGAAGGTAAAGTTCGCTAGGCAGAATCCAATCCAATCCAATCTACTTAATCTTTGCTGAATTTAAGGCTTGTGCCAGGCATTGTGCTGGGCACAGAGATATAGTCACAAGACAGGCACCCTTGCCCTCCCACTGGTTAGACAGTCTCCAGGGCCCCCGAGTGGCACGGCAGCAATCAATCACAGCACAAAGCAGTAAGAGCTACTCTAGGGTGTGCCAGTGTCACAGAAGCATGTAGCACCAGAGTCCCAGCCAGGCAGAAACTCAGAAAGGGCTTCCCGGGTGTCAGCTAATCTTAGACTCAAAGGGTCAGTGGAGATTTTCCAAATGAATGGAGTGTTTTCTAGGCCAAAGAAAATACTTGGAAAAAAGGAAAGAGGCATGCAGATGGGGCGCTACACTTTCACCCCAGATACTCATCCTGTTTTCACCCCTCACCCCTCCTCCTTTCCTTCTATCTGCAGTTTTTTAGCCTGTAAGTTAGCCCTTTCTCCCTAATCATCTATTGCTCTGGTGAGGCTTATCTGCAAATCCAATCCAGGAACCCAAAACCAAACAATCAGAAAACAGCTAAGGAATAGCCACCCGAGCCTGGAACCAAGCCTATATTACACTTACAAAAATTTGATTTTCTGCAGAAAAAATATTTTGACTGCTACATTTTTTGGACTTCATTAGAAGGATCTGAAATGGATGACACCAAGCTGTTTGCCTAAAATAATGTCCCAAGCCTGAACTGGCATGGATGTTTCTTGAGATTAAAATAGAAACTTGTTTTGCTAACAGAAAACAACTTAGAAATCAAAGAGTCATCTGAGTTGAAACCATTATTTTTTCCTTTTCTTGCAGAAAATTCCTGTTTTTACACACACTGAGATCAGAATAGCGAGGTCGCCCTGCCAAAGAACTTTCCATTAAAATTTTGAAGTTGTGGAAACCTCAAAAAGAAAATAAAGGAGGGGGGTAGGGGGGTGTGCAATGTACCAAATGCATCCGACCAGCATGAGGAGCACTCGCTACGTGCCAGCCGCTGTTCCGGGCACCACGCAGAGACACCTGCCCTCGCAGGGCGTGCAGGCTAGCAGAAAGCAACCGTACAAACTAGAAATAAGTAAATTCTGTAGCCAAATGGAAGATGGGCAGTACGGAGGGAGACAGTGGAACAGGGCCCAGGGCGGGGCTGGAGGGGCGAGCTGGGCGTCCGCGAGCAGGGGCGGGCCGCGTCGCGTCGGTGCGGCCGCAGAGGAAGTCGCTGCCGCAGGCCACGGCCTGGGGGGAGCAGGGACAGTCTGGCGCGCACAGGAGGGGCGGCCGTTCAGGGCCGGGGTTGAGAAGAGGAGGCTTTGATCGGGCTCTGTTTCATGTGCGTTTGGGGATAGTGGTGTTTTCATCTGAACAGTCCTTCTCAGGACAGTGCTTTTCACTCTGCACGAGCAGAGCAATGGTCACTTGAAATGGTTTCCAAATGATTCCCAGCATCAGGGGCAAGACGGCTGGGCAGTGACAGCCGGCCCTGCGGAGAGGCACAGCCCGCGCCGGCAGGTGCGGACGGTCACGCCGCTTCTGCACAGCCCCGCTGGCGGCCGCCCGTCCCTCCGGAGTTGCCCGTGCTAACCCGCCGAGTCGGCCCGGCTCCAGCCCCAACGGCCTCCAGGGCCTCGGTGTCCCCACCTGTCCGGGCGGGACCCGCGGGGCGCGCACCTGCGCCCGGGCTCCTTCCTCCCCGGCTCGCAGCTTGCCCGCGCGGGGCGGCGCGGCTGGGCTGGCCCCGAGGGACGCGCCTCCCCGCGCGCCCAGCCCCGCCCCGCGCCGCCGGCAGCCCCGCCGCCGGGAGGCCGGGCGCGCAGACGGCCGGCGCGCCCGGGGCGCAGCGGGGGATCGCGGAGCCGAGCAGGCGGCGCCCCGCCCGGCCAGGTCCCCGCGCGCCGCCGCCGCCATGGCGGGCTGGCGCTGGCGCTGGCGCTGGCTGCTCGCTCGCCTGCCCGCGGCCGCCGACTTCGACGGGAGGTGAGTCGGGCCGGCGCCGCGCCCCGGGCCTCCGTCCCGCGCGGGCTCGCGAGCCGGACGCCGATCCGGGCGGGCGCGGCCGCGGGGCTCCGGTCCTGACCGCTCTCCGGCGGGGAGACGGCCGCCCCCGCTGGGTTCCCTTGGGGGCGAGCAGGAGCCCGGGCGAGCCGCCCCGCGTGCCCCGGCAGGTCCCACAGCCCGCCCGCGCCGCGGCCCGCCGGGCGCCCGCCCGCTGCCGAGGGGCGCACCTGCTCGCCACGGGCCTCGGAGCGGATCGGCTCCGCGCCGACCCGCTTTCTCGTCCCGGGCGGGCGCCGGAAGCGCCGGAACGCGGGGTGGCCGCGGGGAGGCAGCGGAAGTCTTTTGTGCGCGGCCGCGCGGGAGGCAGGTGCCGCCCGGCGGCTGCGAGGAGAGGAGTCGGGGACGCGCGGCGCCGCCGGAGGGCTGGACGTTTCCTCCCAGGACTTGAATCAGGAGGACCTTTGATGAAGGTCCTGAAGGACCTTTTAATTTCTTTATTTGTTAAAAGCCAATTCTTTGCCCATATTTGGGTATAGTGTGTATTTTTTTATATATATATGTGTTTTTTTAATCTGCACCTAAAAACCGGCTATTTTTGATGCTGCGTGCTTCTTGTACACACACCTGCAACAAGAACTACAGCGCGTGACGCGCATGCCGTCTTCACGCGGCTTTAAAGCGATGTCTAAAGGGGGACTGGCAGGCCAGTTGGGCCTGAATCTAAACAAGTGAACACTTTACGGAGCCGCGTCGGGAGTGGGTGGTGCGCGTCTACACCCGCGCCGCGCACCCTCAGTCCCTCTCACCGCGTCGCCGCACTTCAGACTCTGCTGGGTTTATCGGGTGCTTCTCTCTCGGGCGTCTCTTCCCCGGACTGCCCTTGCGGAGCGGCGCGGGGCTGCCCGCCGGCCTCGCGGCCCCGCCGCCTGTCCCGCGCGCGCCGGCTCCTAGTTGAGGCTCTCCTTCCCTCCCCGCGGCGCCCGCTCCGTGAGGGGACTCTCCTTCCCTCCCCGCCGCGCCCGCTCCGTGAGAGGCCTCTCTCCGCTCCGTGAGGGGTCCTCCTCCCCGCCCGCGCGCCGCTCCGTGAGGAGGCTCTCCTTCCCTCCCGCCGCCCCGTCCTGAGGTCTCCTTCCCTCCCCGCCGCGCCCGCTCGTGTAGGTTTCGCTTCCCTCCCGCCGCGCCCGCTCCGTGAGGGCAGGCTCTCCTTCCTCCCCGCCGCGCCCGCTCGCGTGGAGGAGCTCTCCTTCCCTCCCGCGCTCGCCCGCTCCTGAGGAGCTCTCTTCCCTCCCCGCCGCCGCCTCCGTGAGGAGAGCTGCCTCTCCTCCTCCGGCGCCCGCTCCTGGGAGGCTCTCCTTCCCTCCCCGCCGCGCCCGCTCCGTGAGGAGGCTCTCCTTCCCTCCCCGCCGCGCCCCCGCGGCCGGCCGAGGCGCCCAACCGTCTGGACCTGAAACTACGCGGCGGCATTATTTCTGTTGGATGTGTCTTATCCTTAAAACTCTGCAGGCATAAAGGAGTTTGTAGAAAATTGTTGGGTGTGGCTTAATTTTTTCCCCTAAAATAATAACAGAATTTTTTTTAATCTCAAGAGTGTCTTTATTTATTTTGAATCTTTTCGTTTGGTAGGTGGCCCAGGCAAATCGTGTCTTCGATCGGCCTGTGTCGCTACGGCGGGAGGTTCGACTGCTGCTGGGGCTGGGCCCGCCAGGCCTGGGGACGGTGTCAGCGTAAGTAGCGCGCCAGGTGGGCTGCCGCCTGCCTCCGCGGCTTCCCCCAGGGATCAGAGGGCTCCTGACGAGCCTCGGCCGCAGGTCTGACTTGGGAGGTTCCAGATACACTCCAGGCTCCTCATTCTGCGCCTCTCCAACCAGAACCGCCTGTATTAAGGTGCCAGCTTTTGAACAGAGAGCCACTTAAAATGCTTATTTTAGCATTTGTCCCCAATATCTCTCCAGCTCCTTCCTGTTTTCTCATCAGGTTTATTCCTTTCTCTGCTCCAGGGTCTGAGATGGGGGTAAGATAATGAGTCTAGACTGTATTTACACAAAATAAACCCTGACCCTTATAGCACTTACGTAACCCTCACCATAGCCACTGTGTAAAGTGGCCCATTTGTAAATCTTTTTTTTTTTTTGAAGTAAGGTTGTATTGACAGTGTTCCAAATGGACCACCTAGTGTAACCAAATAAAACCTCTGGAAAAAAAACATTATTTGTAACTTCTATAAGTAATTAAGCTTATGTAAAAAGTGCCACATCAGAACAGTGATTTTTACTATTCTCATGATCACAAATGGATATTTTGATGGTAAAATTTAGAGCCACATCACAAAAGTTGAGAAATTTAGGAAATTTCTTCCCAGCATTTTATCAGGATCTTAAAGTTTTATCCCACTCCTCCTGCAATTAGAGTCCCCAAATAATGAAGTAGATTTCCAGGGTGTCTATACAGTGTTAGGCGGGTGTATCTGCTGGGAGACAGAAACTAAGCTGGGTTTTCCATTGGAATGTATGTTTTACTGCTAACGAGGAAGGGGCTTAGAGCAGTAAAAAAGGGTAGCTAAGCAGGCTAGAGCTGGCAATGATGGAGCTGCCTTAGGATTGGGTTGGCAGTAAAGAGTTTCGGGAATAGTTAGGTGTTCCCGTAGCTATTTTCATTCTTGAAAATGCTCATGATATTGTCCTTAACTTTGTGAAAAAAGGAAAGTGTCAGTCACAGGTTGACTCTAGTTGCACTATAGGCAACCATCTCTGGTTGAGGATGGGAAGGTGAAGACTGCCGTTTGTCCGCCTGCCATGTGCAAGCCACCGTGCTAGACCCTTTGCACAGCAAAGCCACTGCATTCTGTCAAAGGCAGACAGTGGTAACTAGTTTCCAGTAAATGAAAGAAGTGGGCAAAACTGCTGTCCCTGCCACTAGTTGGTCTATTCAACGTTGTTTTTAAGTGAAGATGGTCAAAAAGAATGGTGCGTGGTGGAATTTAGTCTTCTCCCAGTTACACCACAGCATAGCGGTATTTGCACAGCTGGAGGCTGCAGGTGTGAATTTGAGGAGCCATCAGGCTCTAGTAACCAAAGGGTGAAGAGAGGACCCTTCTCTTGTCTCAGTACACACGGGCAAACCCCTCCCGAATGAAAAATGGGTAGTTTTTATGCAGGCATGTGGATGGCATCCTCCTCCTTTGCTGCTTTAATTTGCAGGAAACTCCCAAATTGAATGTGAAGTGCTTTGATGTGTGGTGTACAGTCTCCCAGCCCCACCCGGACAAGGCTGCGTTGGCAGAATGCCCTGGGCCACAGGGAGGGCCCCTTCCCTACCACAGAGGCTTAGGGGCACACACATTCTCTGCCAGGCATGCACAAGCATTCCGAGGAGAAGAAACTCCTCCAGTCTGAGAGGTTCATCGACTGTGCAATTTCCCCAGGAAGCGCCTCTGAGAGCTATTCTATTTCTCTGTACCATGTAATTAAATATTTTCTAATATGCACTTGCTGCTGGGTGATTTTGAATTTGAATGAGTGAAGAGACCTTTTGAAGTTATAGTGGCATTACAAAATTCAAACATCCAAGAGATTTCCTAGTGTTTTACTTTCTGCACAGTAGCTTTCCTAGCAGATAGGAGACACTTTAAAAAAAAATTGTGTACCTTTGTTTCCAAATTAATGCAAAGTAGTCAAATATAGTATTTGATAGCATTTATCGTTTCCCTGTTGTTATTCCTCAAATATCTGAGAAAACTGCAACATAGTATGAGTTAATTATTGAAATTAATGTGTAAAATGAACTTGTACATTAATTGTAGTGTGTAAGATGATTTTGCACGAATCGCAGTTTATCTTAGATTTGGTGAAAGTTTGGCAGGCAGCACGCTGGTGGGGAATATGGGCTCTGGAGCTGCACTGCCTGGGTTTAAATTCCAGTTCCGGCGCTTACTAGCTTCGTGACCTTTGGGAAGTCACTCAACCTCTGTGCTGTATTTTCCTCATCTCAACAATAAATCTAAAATAGTACATACCTCAGAGGACCATAACGAGGTTGAAATGAGTTAATTATTCCTAGTGCAGAGTAAATACTACACGAGTGTTTGGTAACATTAAAGAAATGTAAAGGAATACTGCTACCGTGACAGTGTTATGGGCTAGGACATACCTGTTTTGTCAGATTCTTTTTTCATTGGGCATGAGATATATACTTTTTACACTTATCCTGCTAAGATAAAACAGGCTTTCAGGGCTCTCTGTGTTGCAATAAAATAATTTTCCTTCCAATTAAACAAGGCCAAATGGTTTTTTTACCATTAATATTGAAGATGGCAAGGTTGTAAAAATGAGTTCACAATGTATGTTTTACTTTTCCAGAATCTTAGATGGTCCAAATGTCTCTTGTCAGTTCAGAGCTCTGTCTTTGTTTTGATATAAACAGGTAGAAGAATGTGGGGGCAAGAGGTCAGCTCACAGGGGCAGAACAGAACCAAAAAGAGGCTTGTGGGGATGATTGAACTATCTCTGAAAAGTCCTTATTTTGTAAAGAAAGCCTTTATGATATTAAATGCTTTGTAACTACATTTATTCAAGGAAAATGCCTTGCTATTCGTTAACAAATAAATCTAGTAACAGATTACCTGTAAAGATTTTAAAGAAGTTATAGGAAATTTCATGTGAAAAATGTTTTTGCCTTTTTGACCCTTACATAATCACAGAATTCTTTCCCATGAGGAGCATTCTTCCTTCCTTATCAAAGGTGCCCTGGTTCTCTTTTTTCTCAATGATTCCCTTTGGAATTTTCCTTCAAAACAGCACAGCAAGGCAAAGTATTCCCACCTATGCATAGAGCATCTCAATTCATCCAGCAGAAGGTGTGTATATGGGAGGAGGTGGTGCACCCATTGTATTGTTTATCAGATCTCATGCCTTAGTGCAGTGACACTTTAGTGAGTGGTCTGTTCCATTTGGCTGAGCATTTTTAAGATGTTTTGACAATATTCCTGAGAGTCAATATACATATCCACACAAAACATGCCCCATTTCACTGTCACTTGCTACCCTTCTTTCTATGGACCTGTTTGGGGAGACTGACTAACATTGCAGGATGCTGGAGTTGCTAACCCTCCTGCTGGCTCACTACATCCCTTCATGAAGACACATTCAGCCAGGAGACTTTCTGTCCTTCCCTTTGGAACTGAGGAAGGAAGCATTAGAGAAACTACCCGAATGGGCATAGAAGCTGTCCTCCTCTTCCTGTCTGTAGCACCCAACATCCCATCCCAACATTCCTGCCCTGCTGGGGTAGGCACAGCCCACTCCAGAATTAAGCAGGTTGTTTCTTCGCAGTTCTTTTGTAGGTCATACCTGTGGCTTCTTTGTGTTGATTCTGTGTTTTGTGTTCTTGACTCTTAAACAGCTCTCTAGCATTTTGAACATTCAAAATTCGATTTTCTAATTGTCTTGGGCTTTACCTTTATTATTGATGTGCCTCTTTATTGTCAAGTGAAATGTTCACAATATGTTCACAACTCATGGGTATGTCTTTACAGCACACAGTACCCTAATCACTCAGAGATTGTCACAAAATATTTCTGCTTATTGATTTGTAATCAGTTCCTTATCTTTTGCATCATCTTAATGGCATATTTTATTTTAATTATATTAACTATTTCCCTACTACAAGATGGAGACCTCCATAATAAAGATTTTTCAGGGTTTGTATGTTTTATTTTTAAAAGCTGTGTATGCTATGGGAACAATTTTGAATTAGGAGCACTAGATAATTGGGGACAACTGAGTTGAGTCCTGACTTTTATATGTGGTTAGCTAGCTAACATTTCTTAGCTGCTGTTTTCTTATTTTACAAGCAGAGTTCCAAGGAACATTGAAGCTGTAAATTCTATCTGAAAATTTACTTAATGTAAAAAAGAATAGACAGGATCTAGATATTGTCTTCCTGTGTGGTTGTCTTTCTGTTGACTTGGAAGTGGGTTGTATACGTGGCTCATGACAATAGTGTTTTTGTTCAAAGCACTTTACAGGGGTGTGAAGAAAAACTCAAAATACAAGTAGTTCCAATTTTCAACAAAGCCATTCAGTTTCTGAGTTCTTTGGCTGTCAGTGAGCAATTTGTGGTTTCTGAAGGAAATGATGTAAATTAGGATGGTTTTATGTAATTATCCCTAATACCAGGGAACATGCAGATGTTTTGTTATATTTCTGCTGGAAATTTTGGAAAGACATAAATCCTACGCCTAGAGCTTTACTTTGCTATATTAGTTCTGAACTTCATTTTTCCATCTGCCTCTTCTGTGTAAAGTAAAAATTTTGGATTCTTATCAGCTGAAGATAAACTTATAGGTTAGTGAAACAGAGACTGAGAAACAGTAATTCTAAAGCTATTTTGGAATTGTCAAATAATTTCAGTTGGATAGTATACATTACTGGCTAATTAATGATTGTGGACATTGGAAATGATAAGCAAATTATTGAATTATTTCTGCACATCAAATGAAAAGGCTATTAGTTTAAGCAGAGAATTTTGATTTAGTAAATGAAATATTTAAATTTCACTTCTTGTATCTAGGTTCAGAAACTCAGTCTCATAAACAGAACATGATTTATTAATTTTTGTTCCCTACACTGGTCATTGACTTCCTGTCTCTAGTCACAAAATTATATAGGTTATACCTTTAGACTTTGTAGGCTCTCTTCAGCATAATTAAGAGTAAATTAGAAATACTGGAATATGCTTCGAAGGCCACATATAGTGTTCCTTGTGCAGAGGGGTTATTCTTAGTGAATGCTTTTCCATTTGCAGTCAGCAAGTTCTTGGCAGTTTCCATTGAACACGAATTAATATTTTATACATAAGGCAATTTTTTATACCTGTA